GTACTTTAAGGTACTTTAAGGTACTTTAAGGTACTTTAAGGTACTTTAAAGTACTTTAAGATACTTTGAAGTACTTTAAGGTACTTTGAAGTACTTTAAAGTACAAAAGTACGGTGTTTCCCCCTTGGTTTTTCCTCAGCTCTCAAATCGAGAAATGTTGATATATCTTATTTCCATGTAAAATTTTATTGAAAAAACGAGTTTGAAATCAAGTTGATTAGTATACAAATATTATCCGAACGGATTAGTAAAGTAAATAAGGATTTAAATAATTGAAGCTATCCTTTAGTAAAATATATCCTATTGAAAAAAAAACAAGAGACTTGCTGTGTACCTTCAACAGTATTTATTTAAACGTTTTTTATCTTTCTCTGATTAGTCATTTGATTATAGAAGAAAGATTTTGTCTTGTTTATCTGTATTCTATCAATAAGATTCCTATTTGAATAACTCGAGTATTCTACTAATCAGAGTAGATCAAATAAAATTTATATTTAAATTGTTTTTAATTATCACTGTGAGACTAAGATATAATCAAATCTCAATATTAAAAAACGTGATGTTTTATATTAATTCGAACAAACCTTCTATTGTTATGTATATGTTTCGTTTTTCGATAGAGTTATTTTAGTTAAAAATAGTATATCATATAATCGTAATGATTTTTTCTAACGGTAGATTGTCAAAGATTTTTCTATAAAGCTTTCAGGTTAGATTTTTTCTTTTTCAGATTAAGAATTTAATAATGGTACTTAATTCCAATTGGAAGACAAACATTGAAATCAGGTAAATTGAATTGAGAAATAAACATCTATTCTACGAAATAGATCCAACAAATTAAAAAAAAAACATATCTGTCTGAATTTATTCTCTTTAAATGAATTCTTTCAAAATTTCTACATTGATTTAACGATAGAAATGTCTCGGAATTGATGTAGAACGTATAAGTTTAAATAAAACATGTATTTCTATTAGATTGTTTAAATAAAATAAAATCAATGATAGTGTTAATGCAACTGAGTATCATATACTGTTTAATCACTCAATATCAACCATATAACGAATAAAATGATGATATTTATCTAAACGATTGATTTTGAATGAATAAATATATATGAAAATGTATCAAGCCAACGTAGACCATTGTCAGAACTTAAGAATTCACTTTAGCTAAAATAGAAATACAGATCGATATAAAAATCATAATTTTTTTTCTTTCTTTAAAAAAATAAAGCATAAAAAGTCTATATGGAAATAATAAAAGACATAGTTACTATGTTGTTGCAGTAAATTCTAAATCGATTTTATTTCTTAAACAAACTGACAAACTGACCGACATAGAATAATAATTATACCAGTAGATATTGTCTAAGTAAAGGTATTGATCTATAATGCAGTGATAATAAAATCTGAATAATTTATAGTTGATTCCTAACGATTTTAATTTAGTCGTTGAAATAATCTATATGTTCAACTTGAATATATAGAATATTGACCAACTATTAAAATTCTTTCTAATAAATCGATTTAAATCAATTTTTCTTTAACAATTCAATATTCTATCGTCATATATTAGTTTTTACTAATGATTACAATAAGTCATTGAAATTAAAATATAATAAAACAATTTTATTTTCTATCTAAACTATAGTTATATGTTATTTATTATAATATTCTTATCTGATCTTTTTACTTGAATTTATATTAAGAATTTCTCTAAATCATATTGCTAATGTTCAATTTAATGATTAATTAAAAACATATATAGATAATTGATTATAGAATATATTCATCTTATATCACCAACGATGTGTTGAAACAATCTAATTATTATGGAACTCACATATGCTCTATAAGAGAACAGTTGTACGAACACATAATAAGTATAGTTTAATTGTTTTTTCTTTTTTTATAAATGAAAATAAAAACAAAAAAATAATTTTCAAGTGTTATGTTGGGATCGAAGAAATTTAAAAGATGATTATCTAGAACGATTAATATATAAATTGTAAACATTGATTGATTGAGTCTTTAAAACTATCATTTTTGAAGTGGGTGGTTCCTTTTAACAGTTTTGGTTCTTTTTTAATAATTTTTTGTATATATCAATCGACATTACCAAAAGGTTTTTTAGAAAGAACATATACTATTAAAATCAATTACGTACGTCAAAATATATAGTTTTAACGAAAAAACGAACCAATTCTCTCATAGAATCTCGCCGACAAAAAAGTATTAATCTGTCTTGTCTTATAGTATTTTCTTGAAAAATTTTTGTTTCATCCCTTCCCATAGAACGTTCCATGCGAGCTCTGATATGTATTGTCGAGTATCCGTCTGTTACCGACTGCAAAGTTAAAAGCTATCGATGAAAGTGAGACACTACTAGAAACGTCAAGAATCTTTTAGAGCATGTCAGAACATGTTGTAGCTTTTCAGATTTTTTTTTCTACAATATTCTGAAACATTCCACAATATTTTCCAGACAAGTATGAAAGGACGCGTGAGATGACGAGTAACTGTTTTGTTAAGGTAAATGATGACTGATATTACAAGACGATCTTCTTCTATGGACTATGAATATTCTACCTCACCGTCATGCATACATGACGATTCAACTGCTTCAGACTCATACCAAGATACTGCTCAGTTACTTCCTGTCATAAATCTGCACGGTCGGCGTGTAGGGTAAAGCTTTTCGAGAGCCGAAAGGATGTGCCCATGATGTGTAGAGGACATGAAGACAGCCAGATTATAACGACTGCAGAAAGATGTTGAAAAGCATCGCTTCCAACATCCGAAAACAAATAGAGGAGCAAAAACAAAACCGACGAGAAAAAGATGCTTTACATCAGCGCTATCGTCGACAATGAACCTTCTCTGTGCACAAGTTGCACTCGGAAGCACACTTCCTTCTGAAAGTTATTTCGATAAAATCGATAATGTCTGTCAGTAGTGTAGTGTCCTGTATTTCAAGAGCGAGTATTCGTGTTGCAGAAAGGATGAATTCAAGCAGTACTATCACTATTGATTTATTCAACTCCCTGAGACTCTTACATATTCAGATGAAATCAAAGTTTTTCTGCAAAGAATGGATATTGAAACAAGAAATTGCCATGAAAATATTTGCAGTTACAATAGTACTCTTGCATTTGCATCGATAAGGGCTTAGATTGGTTTGTCATTAGGGTTTGAATCCTACTACTTTCGGATTCATGGACAAATCTATGAATGGATCCGTTCACTTTATCCTGAATCTGGTCAGAGAACTCAGTTTGTTCAACTCTATATAGACTTACGATCAAGATTGTAGCAGGATATTCTTTGGTTGAGTCGATCAACTCCATTTATAAACTGATTGTAATCTTTTATTGCTTTTGGACAGTTAATTGTAATACATTGACCATTTTTCAACCGGCGGGAAATCGGAACAACTTTGTTGTCTTTATGATAATTTGAAACCAAAAAAAAACGTGTTTGGTATCCATCCATATGAAGACAATGCTGTTCGATATAATCATTGACTTGTAATCCCCTAGTTCCATTTTATCTTTCTTGGTAAAATTCGACGAAATACCTGCCCGATCTGGTCTAATCGTTCCACTGGCCTTTATGTTCTATTATTTTAACTTTTCTAATAATCCGAGAGAAGTGAAAAATTTATCGAAATATAGATGTTTTTCTTCAAAATTATGACCAAAGATAAGATCAAAAACAACACATTCGCCCAAAGGTATTTCTCTTTCATTGGTTTCTTCTTTTCCTAAATAGAATTGATAGTTGAATAAGTAATCAGTGATTAGATCACATAAACACCAAACTTTATATCATTTTTTTATTGGTTTTAGAGGCAAATATTGTTTGAGGCTTGATCTTCCCTTGAATTTTATCATACTTTCGTCGATTGCACCATAGCGACCAAATTTATAATTTTTCTGAAAATTTCTCCGTAAAATTTCAGTAAAATCCTTAACTTTGTAAATTTTGCTATCGTTTTTAGATCCTCGTTTTGATTCCAATGAACTATCAGCCAAATGTAAATTATACAGGAATTTGAAGAAAACGATCTCTTGACATGATCAAAGAGATAAATGTATTATGGAATACCATATCTTTACTTCAATAAAGTTTCATATTTGGCAAGTTATAGATACCTATTAGAATAATCAACCCGAGAAAACATTCAATATCTTTTTTGCTCACATCCTTCCAGTTCCTGGTTTTCTTCTGATTGTTATTTCGTTTCTTTCTTTTTCCATAAATGTTTGTTTGATCAGTAATCAGATTTAAAATTTCTCAGGTAAAAAAAGGTTCTAAAGACTGAAATTGAAGTTCGCTTTTTGAGAGAGATTGAGGTAAAGCCGCTATCCGTGATATAAATTTCATTTATTGAATTCAGCTTCTCTGCATATACATCCAAATCTTCATCAGAAACTTCAAGTTCATTTAAGTTATCGACTAATTCATTGTAATCGAAATCGAATTCACTCTCGCTGCTGTCATCACTAGTATATGAATCACAGAACTTGTCATCAACTTCATTATTTTTATAAAATTCCATTTGTTTAGTTTTAATTATAAAAACGGTATAAAGAAATAAAGAGTACAAGTTCAAAAGAGAAATGATATGCTTTGCAAATTCAAGAACAACGTAAATTCGTCAATGACAACAGGAATATATATAAACGTGATAGAGAATCAGAATATTCTCGACAAATAAAAGATCAGAGAAGAAGAAAGAAATCATGACGTCACTTTATCTTAGCAGCAGGAACAAAAGATATTTGAAAAGAATTTATATGAGAGAAAGAAAGAAAGACAAAAAAAGGTATAAGATGACGAATACGGTTGTTTATGACCTTAATGAGCTTACATATTTAATAGTTTAATGTGAACTAAACACTTTTTTCTCTACTGACAAATTGGTAGGACAAATATGTCCCACCGTCCTCAAAGGGTTAAATTCTTCATAAAATATAAAATTGAATACTAATGCAAATGAAACTGTACGAGCTCAAAGTGTTCAAAGCAATGAAAATATCAGTAAGTGAAATAAACAAGCATGTCTTTAAGAAATTGAAAAAAAAATAATATATTAAGTTGAACCAGCACGATTAAGTCTTGAAAGTGAAAGTAATGATGAAAATCTGAAAATGGATGAAATAATTCCTCGTCCAACACCAGATCAAATTCTATCAAAAAGTACAATACCATTTACATTAGATACACAAAATTCAGAACATCATGAAAATCATTCATCGCCTAGAATATCAAATAAACGAAATTATAAATTAATTTCATGTTCATCTCGACAAGTTTATCGAACAATATCTGAATCAAATCAATATCCAAATACAAATCAAACAAATGAACAATTTACACAATTGACACTTTCACAATTAGAACTTTTAGAAAATAATGATCCAATGATAAGTAATAAAATTGGTGTTCCTTTTATTCTTCGTCAAATGTTAACAAGATCACGTGATGCTCAACAATCAACTAAACGTTTACTTCAGCAAATTCAGCGAGATTATCCAAAGTATTTGAATATTATCTTGTTTTTTTTCTTATGTTTATTGAATATGTTTAGAAAAAATGGTCAAACAATATTTGAATCTCGTACATGTCGTTCTTCTCATAATTTAATTGATATTTACTCAAACACCTTCAATTAACAAAATCAAAAAGAATACGTATTGAAAGACAAACAATATTTGAAAAAGCAGAAAATGAATCCTCAATTGAACAAAAAATGCAAATTAAATCATTAGAAAATCCAAATCGTTTAACTATTCCACTTTATTTACCATTGGAACAACATTCGCTTGTTAAACATACTAATTCAACAAGAACATTATCAAAAAAACATCCAAGTCAATTAGATGATATTTATATTTTAGAACATTCAACAGAACAACAACGAAATCTTTTTCATCAGTACGAAGCTTTTTTTTTCCTTTTATTGAAAGAATGAATATTTAACTTTGATAAATATCGAACCAAAATAAAATATAATTACACTTGAAAAAATTCTATTTTTGAGTAGGGGTGGGAATTTATAATTTATTGTGATTTGTTATAAATCTTTTGCCATAGAAAGAATTTCCAACCTCTATAGTACTGATTCATATTGTATAACCAAGATAGATACCGATCTGAGATTTCAGGAAAAATAAGTTATTTATTATTTATCTGTTATTTATAACAAATAACTATAGGAAAAAAAGATATTGTTATTAATAACAATAGGATAAGAATAACTTCTTATCCCTATTCTTGAGAACAATCGATGATATTCAAGTGTCAATAGTATAATCGTTAGAGTTCAAGAAGAATTCCTCAATCCATATGTTTTTACATTTTGTATACATATTCCATTGAATAAACCCTTTAAAAAATGTCATTGTCGATTGAAACTAGAACAAGACAATTTCATTAGATTTTTTTGACAAAAAAAAAATGGTCAGAAACAATGAATTGATATAGGAGAATCCGCACGTTTCATCATAAAACGTCAATTACATTATTGAGCTTGTTTACTTGATAGATGAAATAAGGATGATAAAACCATGATATATCGATCATACCCATTTGTTTCATCTTGCAAAAAACTACAAAATCGATTAGAGATACAAATTCATACTCTGAAATAAATCTTTCAGTTTGTACTTATTGCGAATCAACCTGTTATTCAATTAATCAATAATTAAAACTATCTTTCACAGTATTTAGAAAAAAAAAAGATTCAAAGTTAAAATTTTCTACTAGTGAAAATGATAATACTTATATAAACGATAAAATCATTCGAATAAAAGATGTTCTTTGACGATTCATGTTTAAATTTTCAAAGCGCCAAAAACAATCACATTACAACAATTGTGGACACAAATTGTTTGATACAACTAAGCAAGAACATCATACTAAAGTTTTAAGAGATAGGTTATTCTTCATAGTAATGGATGAGTACAGGTCATTTATGTCTCAGCAACATGATGAACAAAGATGACTAATGAGTAACATTGATCTTTTATCTTACAATCAGATTCTATCGGAATTTGATCACATAAAAACTATAAGCTTTAAGAATGGCAAACAAAATAATATCATGTAGGAATCGATAGTAATAAAAAAAAAAACATTAGAACACGATGAAAACAAATATGTATTCTCTTCATATTATTTTATTCTATAAATGATCGCGTTATTGAAAAAAAAAGTTCGCTTCATGTTTTTCCTTCATTCTGTTTAAACGTCTACAATGTTATGAAATGGACAGTCGACATCGGACACACATACAATGACCTTTTAATATATTGACTAGTTCATCCATTGCATTGTTGTATACTTTATGCATTGTATATTATATATATATATATATTTAGTTTAGTTCATCAGTGAGTAAAATGGACAATTCTACTCGTTTGGAAGACTTGTCAAACGAAATATTTTGTGAGATCTTTGATTATTTGAATGCATTGGATCTGTTTTGGACTTTTGCTTCTCTTAATTCACGTATTTCATCTATTTTAAAACTAATTCGTCTTCATGTCAATATTGATTTGGTATCTTCTCGTCGTCAAATTGAATTTCTTTCTCATCATCTGATCTTCCATTCTGATCAAGTTATTTCACTGGATATTTGTGATAAGGCCTACGATCAAACAAATGTCATTGAATATATTTTTGAGCGGCATGACTTTCCCAATCTTCGTTCGTGCATATTTTGGTCTCTTGATGTATCATCCAAACTGAAAAATCTTCTTAGACAATTGAAGAAACAAACTCAGCTTATATCATTTTGTATACTTGAATCGTTCAATATCCAAAATGAGAATTGGATCAGAAATTATGCACATCTATTTAGCAAAGAGATTTTGTTAGACACACCATCGACATTTCGGCATGTCACTCTTCGAATTTATTATCATTATCCTGAATTAATGAGCAGTACGATTATCAGTACCAACCTTACATATCTCGAATTAATCTTTTACGGAACACATAACATATCGATTTATGCGCTAATTCCTATCCTTCGTATACATAGCTCGTTGCGACAAATCTGTGTCATTATTCAAAATTCTAAAATGTCACAAGATAATAATATCAAGTAAGGCTGCGTACTTGAATAATATTATTAAATATTTTCATATGTACTTTTGAGAATAAATAAAATCAACTATTTTATTAAAAAAATACAATAGAAAACAATGTGTTTATCATTTTTGTTTTTTTTAGTATTCCAAATGTTCAATCTATAAACGAAGATGATTTACCTAGAGTAGCATCATTAAAAATATTCGATTTGCACATATTGACACAATGTGATATTCATTCACTTGGTCTTATTCTTCATTGTATGCCTAATCTTCGAGAATTTAGTTTTACATTTATCGTTGAACATCTTCATACACTATTTATTGATGTCTTACTCAATGGAAATAACTGGCAACAAATATTGACAAGTCATCTATCACATTTGACCAAATTCGATATTCATATGTCTTTTTTAACACATGATGGACTAGTCAATTCCAAATTGATTCTTGATTCATTTCGATGTTTTTGCACACAATATGATGGTTGGCATATGGCTATTAGTCGATGGAAAACTTTTCAAGATTTTACACTCTGTAAGTCAAAGAAATCATCATTTATTTTATTCACTTTTGCCAGTAACAGACGAAAGGATAGAAAAGATAAAGCATTTTTCTCAGTATTGATGCATATTACCGAAATTGAAAGGATATGAGCAGTTTTTTTTTCTTCCATACAGAAAAGAAAAAACAAAAGAAGAAAACAAACTCATTGAACAATTCTACAATTAAAAACTAAATGAGAAACGATGATTTGTAGAACTTCGTCGATACTTTCAACATGTCTTCAATGCATATTTGTTTTGATAAGAAAGATTTTTAGGTAATTATAGGGCATAAATATTAGAAAAAAATAACCATTTTTTTTTACTCCAGAGATTCTTGTCATTCTCATAGTAGTCTAAAGAGTTTGAGATTTGATGTTTCCTCTTTCATAAGTATAACTCTTGAAAAAAACAGAACAATGACTCGGTAAAAATATGATATATCTGGGTATGATGATTTTCATTCAAATCGTATTGGTCTTGATGAAAATTATATAGGTCGATTGAGAAATATTCGATTTCTTTTGCAAAAATTTGAAAATGATGATATATATTTCGAATGAATCATGGTATATTTAGATGAATGTATTGTTTTGCGCACACTCAACTACAAATATTTGGTACCACGATATAAATATTTTACAACAATGAATATATGTTATGGCACATTCGAAATAATCTCAACAGATTTATCAAATACTAATAATTACTACTTTCAATCGCATAATAACTCAATAGAATTTAATATGCCAACATATATGGAAAGTCCAGTGAATTCATCATATGCAAATATTCCATTTAGAAATGTTAATTTTCTTGTCATACGTTTATCATTGATAGAATCAAGAATAATCTCATTTTTAAAGAATATATTTACATCAAGTGAGTAAATACATATCTACGACTTATTATGAACTCTTCCATAAACTAATTGTCTTATTATTAATTTTTGTTTTTTCTTTTGTTCAGTTTTTACGCGTTCTCATACGGATCAATATGTCGAAAGTCTTTCATCTCTTATTGATTTGTCGACTATCATTACCTTAAAATTTAAAGAAAACAACGATTTAAGACGATCACATGTTGCACCACATATTATACGGTATGTTGAATTATGTAGAATAAAAGTTTTAGACAAACATATTGTACTGAAAATCTCGTAGAAAACTCATATTAGAGATCTGACATAATCATTTTTTTTCAACTAGTGATTTTTTATTTCATTTTGTTATAAGAGATTTGTAACAAGCATATCTTAAATAATTCAATCTTCATGTGTGTAAGATTACAGCAATCAGTATTGATTGCAACTATCCATGTAAAAGTTTTGAAAGTGAACTTAAGAAGAATCGATTATCTTAAGATCAAAATAATGGAAGTATTCTACATAGCTCTAGTGAATCGGAGCCTGTGACAAAATTGTTTTACAGCCCAAAACTTATCCAATTTGAATTAAAATATATTGAATTATTATTGAAATTTGCATTGAATGAATCTGAATGAATATTTTTTAAAACACCAGAAATTGTGTGCACTTATCATCGAAGCATTCCTGCTTGATAGTATATATCATTAGAAGAGCTGTTCATTTCATCATTTTTCTTCTTGCTATATGATAGCAGTTTCTCACCTGAAATCTACATAGAATCGATGTAGTATTTTCCATGTTTTTATTTCTAAATTACAGTTTGGTCCTACAGGTTTGTGATGACTGATCATGTTGCTTATAAGAAAACTAATATTATTGATATTTTGATTACAATTATATCCAATGTCGAATAATCAATCTAAAATAACATTGTTTTCTTGACTTTTTAGAGCATGTGTGAATGTCAAAAGACTTATCATGCATACTTCATTATTCTTCTTGCCTATAATCATCGACAATGCGGATCTTACTCTTACTTTTAGTCGAATAGAGAACCTTGAACTGTTTGTGGATCATATGTACTTTCCATTAAAATATGGCTCAAAAATTGTGGAACGTTTTTCATCTTTGAGAGAGATCAAAATTATTCATTGTTCATTCGACTCTAGCTTACTGATCGTCGATATTTTTCTCTGTGGTCTTCCAAAATTATGTGAAGTTATCATCGAATTTTGCCATGATACTTTATTAGATTATCCAATTTCGCGTGATCATGTGATAGAAAAGCGACGTCAGTCGTTTGGTTTAAACAGAAACGATGAAGACAAAGTGATTGTAAGTGCTAAAGCTCATATATTGTATATCTGGATTCCATAATTATTGATTTGTACATTTGTTGTTTCATAGTACATGAATAAATTAGATAAAGTATGGAAAATTTGTAAGATTATTTTGTATGAATGGCTATTCCACTTACTAATTGTTGATTCGAAATCGATGTTGATTACGAGAACATCCATAAGCCCATTCATGACTCGGAGAAGTAGTCAAAATTTAGTTTTTTGATTTGATATTCTCATCGTCTTCAGCATCATTCAAAAACCTCTCTGTCCAAGTTTTTAGCATGTCTGATGAAGCTGATGAAAAGCCCAGACGAATTAATCTAATAGTGGATCCTGTCGGGTTCTATAAAAACCGATCAAAATTCTATCAAATTCCGACACCATTCTGCAGGATCCTACTAGCGATGGCGCCAGAAATTGAAATTTCCACAGAGGAGGGTACAGCCTCTACGATATTGAAATGCCAAAATATGTAGTAGAAGTTTTCCGAACTTTTTCACTCCCTAAGAGTGCTACTTGATATATACAATCAGGAAATCCCATGTAACTATAAAACGAATTTTAGATGCGTTTAAACGCGTCTTCGATTAAAACAGACCCCAAATGTACTAAAATGCGTCTATAGTACTAGTGTCCAAATGCGTTTATTAAATAAGACACATCCGAACAGGTTTAGATTAGTTATGGAACGCGTTTCTAATGTAAACAATTTCGGGTTTGCATCCAGATGCGTTCATAATTTCCAACAAAGTTAAATTGAACGGGATCGAACGCTACCTATCGACAACATGCGATTATACGCGTTAATTCTGTACGCTTGTTGATGCTCTAGGATTTCACTTACGCGTCTAAATGCAGTCCGATGCCTTCTTTTGCATAGAAAAGATGCATTTAACCCTTTACCCCCATAGCGGTTCCAGAACAGCCGCTGATGAAATAACTTTATAAATAGAGTATTAGTCTGTTGAATATGCCAATGGTGTGGCCTAATGCGCCGAACGTCTTGTTCCTGGAGTAGGGCGGTTTGATTGATGTAAAAGTCATGTTGTGGAAAATGGGAATTGAACGACATCATAAGACTTAGTTTTTTTTCTTTGACCACATTATTGACTGGACAGAAGCAGCATCTATCTCGTACTGTTGAACTGATAGGAAAAATGCAACGAGCGAACCCATAAAAATTAACATCAAAGAATGCAGGTTTTTTTTACACCTATTGCCAAATTTAAGCCTATTTTACTCTGAGCCATTTTGTAACGTCTGAAGGAATTTAATTCATCATAAATACTATTTCGGCTTCTTATGAGTTGAGGTCTATAACGCATATATTAACTTTGTTCTTGATTAGCCTTCATCTGTCTAATAGTGACAGCATGGTCAATTGTGTTCCTTAGGATGCATAGTTCACGAAGTTAGCATGAAGCTTTCGAAACACATCTAATTCAGCAGTGGACTTCTTCATCGATTACTATCACACAGAAATTGCAAAAGACCTCTATCGATTGCGAGTAGAGAACATCTCGTTTAAAAAATTTCGAATTTTTGCATTTTTTTCAAAATTATCGATTTTGTAAGTCATATATCTCGAAGGCAGAGCAATGAAACAAAATATTTTTTTTTACCAATCGATAGCTTGTGGAGTTCCCTCAAGGGGGAAACACCGTATTTTGTGCTTTAAAGTACTTTAAGGTACTTTGAAGTACTTTAAAGTACTTTAAGGTACTTTAAAGTACAAAAGTACGGTGTTTCCCCCTTGGGGGACCTCAGGTAGTCGGAAAAAATTGTATTTTCGAATTTTGACCCGAAACTTTGCATATACAGAGGCCTCAACTAGACTAGCTTGCACAGCAAAATTCAGAAGTTTTGAACCAGGTCTCGTCAAGATATGAAGTTTTATCTTTAGAAAAGGACTTCTATGGTAGAAGGTCCATATCTTGAAAAACTTTGTTCAAAACTTCTGAATTTTGCTGTGCAAGCTAGTCTATTTGAGGCCTCTGTATATGCAAAGTTTCGGGTCAAAATTCGAAAATACAATTTTTCCGACTACCTGGGGTCCCCACAGGGATTTCTTGAAAAACACCGAAATTTGGGCTAACTTGGAAGAGCTCTACCTCCCACAATTCTGAAAGGCGAAGTCGGATATTTTAATCACTAGTAGTGTTCACTTAGGTCTATTCAGAAAAAAAGTTTCAAGAAATTCTGACGTGTAGTTTTTGAGAAAATCTGGTCCCAATATAGGGTTTTTCGAGATCACCGGCCCCTTTAGATCCATATATCCAGAGTGTGGAGCGTTTTGAAGAACTTTGGCATATTATGTTTGAATCAGCATAGTGTAAGCTTCATTTTGATCTTAATATGTTAGGGTCTCTAACTAGTTATATAAATTTCATAAGTAGTTCAATTTAAGCATAAAGTGTTATTTTTCCAAATTTTACAAATGCTCCCCAACAATGAATTCTAGAGATATAGTTTTGAAAATTATTTTACAAAGACAGCTTTTTATGCTCTATCCAATGATTAAATCAAAATTTCCAAAGAACGTTCACGAAGAATAAAGGAGACAGATTCCGGGGGACCGTTTTTCGATAAAATCGACTTTTGGGACTGCTCTGCTGCGGTTAGCGCATGATTCTAAACAAAACTAACTATCAAGTCCTACACAACTCGACGAGGGCTACAAGACTAGCATACTTAAAACTTGCCGGGAGAAAGTTCTGTAAAAAGTAGGAGGAGCTGCGTGGAAGTACCCAACCAAGAGAAAACTTGTCGTGACCGCAACTCAAGTTTCTAGTTAAATATTATAAAGTTTGAAACAGATTATGGTATTAATCATATGAATTATAATTTAAGAGATATAACGAAAAAACGGCTTCTCATTGCCAAAACAAATCTAAAAAAAAGAGGTCTGAACGAATTATATTAGACGTGAAACCACCAGAGTCTGGAACAGTTTTCTGTAGACATGGATCAAGATCGACACCGAGACCAAAAAGAATAATCTGTCAGGATCGGGACTGAGAAGTAGAACTTCTCGGAGTCAGGATCGAAAAGAAAAACTTGTCGGGATCGGCACCAAAACGAAAAGCCTATCGAGACCGGGACAGGCAGGAAGACTTCGTCGGGATCAGGAAAAAAAAAGAAAAATTTGTCGGGATCGGAGCTAAAGAGAAAAATTTACCAGAATCGGGGCGAAAAGTAAGAACTCCTCTCGAACACTACAAAAAAAATATTTGTCAGGACCGAGACCGAACAGAAACGTTGACCCGATCTGGACGAACGAGAAAAATTGCTGGAGACCAGAACGGAAAAAAAGAATTTGTCACCACGGGACTGAAAATGAATAATATGTCGGGGCCCGGAGAAAAAATCATGGGGACCGGTACTATAGAGAAAAATTTCTGGAGATCGGACCGAAAAAAGAACTTTGTCGGGACCGCAACTATCGAGAAGTGTTTGCCGGAGGCAGGACAAAAAAGAAAAATATGTCAGAACCTGGAACGAAAAGAAGTATTCGTCGGGACCGGCACTAAAAAGAAAAATTTACCAGTACCGGGATCAAAAAGACGAATTCATTGGAACCAGGACAAAAGAATATTTGTCAGAACCGAGATCGAAAAATTTTCTCGCGGTCTGGAATAACGAGAAAAATTTCTGGGAACTGGGACTAAAAACAAAAATTTGTTACCTCCCGGAAAAAAAACGAAAAACTTATGGGGATCGGGACGTAGAAGAATAGTTTCTCGAGATCTGCACTGAAAAAAAATTTTGTCCGAATCGGGACTAAAAAGAAAAATTTGCCTAGACCAAAAAGAAGAATTCTTCCGAACCAGGAGAAAAAAGAAAAATATGGCAGGACCGAAACCAAAAAGCAATTTTGTCGGGACTGGGACAAAAGGAAAAATTTTGGAGACCGGTAGCTAAAAGGAGAATTTCTCGTGAACGGCACTGAAAAAAGTTTGTCGGGATCGGGACTACCGAGAAAAGTTTGTGAGGAACGGAGTCGAAAAGAAGTATTCGTCAGGACCGGGACTAAAAAGAAAAATTTACCAGTACTGGAACCAAAAAGATATTCGTTAGAACCGGGATCGAAAAATTTTCTCGCGCTCTGGAACAACGAGAACAATTTCTTGGAACTGGGACTAAAAAGAAAAATTTGTCTGGGCCGGGAGAAAAAAAATTGTAGGTAACCGGAACCTAGAACAAGCATTTCTCGATATCCGGACTGAAAAAAAGTTTGTCGGGATCTGGACTAAGAGGAAAAATTTGTCAACAGCTGGACCAAAAAGAAGATT